CCCTCCACGTTTAAAATCAACAACACGCGTTTAGAGTTTTTGGCTGCTAAGCATTTCCACTCGATAGGCCTCTTCGTTGAGCTGTCATTTGTGGCCAGGTCGTTTCCGAAAAAGAGCTACACAGCTCAATGGGCCTTACCTGGTAAAATAAAAATGGTTTAGTTTATTCGTTTTTAGTTATTACCAGGCTGTGCTGCTGCTGTGCTCACCAGGGCAGCTATCACGGGCAGCCACAACCACGCAGCCTCCAGGGTGAGCGACATGGCAGAGTGTGGCCCAGAGCCATTCGGTGCCGACTCTTATCGGCTCGAAGCGCCGGTTTGTGATGGGGCTGTCACTCGCTCACCCAGCCATGCACTGCCAGCATCCTGTTTTTCTGCTCGTTGGGCATACAACTAGAATGAAAGACAGGAACAACAAGAAGAAGAACGATTGTGCCTGTGAAAGGCCCCAACATAATGTGCATGGAAAATCTGATTTGTGCAAATCTTTATGAATCTGGAAGTGATTTTTAGTTCATGGTCGCCTTAAAACGTTGCTTTCAAGGCAACCAATTTGCTGTCAGGATTGAGGTATCATATCATTATCATAATCAGTCATGATCAGTCTGCTGCTGGGTGAAGGCCTCCACGAGCTGCCTCCATCTCTCAAGATCCGGCGATGCAATAAGCAACCTAAGAACGTGAACGTGAGCTGATCTTCATTGCTCCATCTCCTAGACGTGTGCCCCACTGAACGCGTTCCATTCCTTGGCTGCCCGTCGATCACCGGCCAGCGGCCCTTGTAGCGGAGTCTCCTGCCTAGCTTGTTTGATGAGATCAGAATTGTCGGGGAAAGACACCTGACGAGGAAAAGTCGACACACCGCATCAACCAGAGCTGGGCTCTTCAATTATTAAAGTCGATCGATTACTCAACCGATTATCGGTTCGGTCACTCGACTCATCAATTGGGTAACACAATAAATAGTTGAGTTAAATAAAGTCTCACCTCTGTTCACACACGTGTGTCGCTGAACGGGAGGTGATGGGCGGGCCATGGTGACATCGTTGGCATCATCATCATCAGCCGCATTGTGCTGGCTGCTTCTTGCATCTTGGAGACGGGTTTTCCAACTTCGGTAGGCAGGATGTGGGTAAGGGGGGGGGGGGGGGCAACCACTGAATTTAGGTTGGGCCCGAGTCATAGACCGCGTAAAATGTAGTCCAGAACAATTTTCTTACGGATTCAATTGGCTTTAAATGTGTGGTGGGTAATTGTCAGGCGGAATACGCCGCCAACACTACGGGAAAACGTGTACCTCCAGTCAGGGCTCAACAGGGGGCAATAGCGGGTCCGGCCTGTACTAAGTTGGACTCCGTGGGTCAGGTAATCTGGGGGCGGTTAGAAACTGGGGGGGGGGACACCCCAGGCCCCCAGTGGGGGCTGGGGGATTGCGCAACAATCTAGGTCCCTCCAGAAGGTTCCAGAGAGTTGGCGTGGCCAGGGGCTGGGTGACCCTGGGAGAACCATAAAAGCCGGACCCCAGAGCGGCCCCGGCAGTCAGCGTCAAGCCGAAAACCCAAGAGCTCGCCTGAAGACTAGGACCCTGGACCCCAAGCTCCGCCGTCCTTCTAAGGGCCGGAGCTCAGTGAGGCCAGTAGTCAGAAGGCTAGGACCCTGAGGATCCCCGGACCCGACGTCCTTATCAGGGCCGGTTCTGAGTGGGCCAGTGGTCGGGACCCGAGGACCTTGGCTGGGTCGGGTCAGCCTCCACTAGGTCCCGTTAGCCAGAGGGCTAACAGTGGTTGGTCCCAGTGGCTAGGTCCCGTTAGCCGGAGGGCTGGGAGTGGTTGGTTCCAGTGGCTAGGTCCCGTTAGCCGGAGGGCTGGGAGTGGGTGGTCCCAGTGGCTAGGGCACGTTAGCCCGGAGGCTGTACCTCCTTAGGTAGATGGGTAGAAGGGGCCATTTTCACTTCGTGTTAGGGACCTCGTGTGTTATTGAAGACTCCGTCTCCATACAACCCACTAGAAATTTACTATTTTATCTCGAACCAAGTTTCAATAGATCCATCCATACCGCCTCGTTTGCAGTTGGCAATCGAGGCGGTAATTCGCCGGGTGGAGGAGGGAGGGAGCCGGGGAAGGAGGAGAGACCCCCATCGCATCCCTCGTCCTGGCGCAGGCGAGCTGTTGGGTTTAACATCGTGAGTTTTGACACGTAACAATCCACATGAACACGTAAATGTGGCCTACAGCAGGTAACTGCAGTAGGTTGATGCTGCCGTGGTCTGATGGCTGTTAGCAAGCTGGGCTCACAATACGGAGATCGCCAGTTCGATCGGACCTCCCGGCGTGGCAGCTGACACAATGGGCACGTCTGCTTAAATCTCCCCCCCCCTCCCCCGGCTCTGTCCACCCACCGGCAGGTGAATGTTGTCACCACGGTCCATCGGCAGTGTACATGTGGTGGTGGGTCACAGCGTGGGGTGCTCCCCCTGATGCCTGGCCACTGGTCTTAGCTATTCACCCACATTTGTTTACTTGATTGTAATAAGTGAGACGTGGGGCTGCGCCTTCACCTGGGGGTGTGGGGGGCTCATTCCCCTCCAGCCAATTGCCCCCCCCCCCCCCGACACTCAGCATCCAAACACAGTTCTCTGCTGCTCCTGAGGCTCCTCACCACTCCTGGAAGCCACTTGCATCGTGAATGTCATGCTGCGTCACTGTGAACTTCACTCATAATTCCCTCCTCACATGTCGACCAGACGGACTGTGTCGTCACAGTCAACCACTACACTGCAGGTCACAACACGCTCACTCACTCATCCATGCACTCATCCATGCACTCACTCACCCACTCACTCACTCACCAATCACTCACTCACTCACCAATCACTCACTCACTCACCAATCACTCACTCACTCACTCACCAATCACTCACTCACTCACCCACTCACCCACTCACTCACCCACCCACTCACCCACCCACTCACTCACCCACTCACTCACTCACCCACTGACCCACGCACTCACTCACCCACCAATCACTCTCACTCACTCACCCACTCACTCAACCACTCAAGCACTCACCCACCCACTCACTCACCCACCCACTCACTCATCCATCCACCCACTCGCGCACCCACTCACCCATCCACCCACTCACCCTACCACCCACCCACTCACCCATTCACTTACTTGCTGAGTCGACCAAGGAGATGCTCAGGACCGGTTCAGATAATTGTCACCGGTGTTGGGCCGTGAGCGGGAATCAAATTGGGTCGTCGGGTTCGTAGCGCAGCGCGCTAACCGCTACACTACCGCTCTCCCCGCAAGCTCTCACCGTCACCTTGCTTAATTAAAAAACGTGTCACCACCTATTTATTATACGCAATATTAATAATAAACTGATATATTTATTATTGACTTTCATAGTGCTGTGTGGTGCCGGCGATTTCACGTGTTGGGCCTTTGGGCCTGTGCTCAGCAAGTGTTTAAAAATAATTCCAAAAAGTCACTTGCAAGAGTCAATAAGCCGAAGTGAAACTCTCCTCGTCTGTTCACGCGAGCAGTGGCTGAGTGAGGGTTCAAGAATTGCAATCACCACCAGTGGACTGCTGCTGCTGCTGCTTCAGCTAAGTGTTTGTTATCAAGTTCCCATCATCATCGTCATCAGCAGTGATTCATTTCCACACGGCATCATTGTTCGCCCTCTTTGGGAGCAACGCAGTTCGCCTCCTATCGCCTTCACAGACTGTTGGAGCAAGTGCAGTTAGCGAGCACCTATTGTGGGCTGGCACGGCACACCAAGGTGGGTGGCCAGCACCACACCGGGCCGCCTTTGTCTCCCTAGTGACGATGTGTACTCATCGCACCCGGTATTCAGTCGAGGCTGAGTCGACCCAGGGGAGGTCCAGGACCGGTTCAAAGATTCGTTACCGTGACTGCTCACGAGCTCAGATCGCCGGGTTCGTAGCGCCGTGCGCTAACCACTGCGCCACCGCTCCACACCCCACACCACCGATCAGCACGGTTGGCTACGTACGGTGCGAAAGAAGTTCGACACATACGAACACTCCCCCATCTGCATGACAGCCAGCCATAGCAAGCGGCGAACGCGTCCACGAAGCCACGGGCAGCGACACGGCCCAGGGGCCAGCGCCACTAATGACAGAGGTTCACAATGCCAGGGTCGCCTTCATCATTACCGCGAGTGTCATCACCAACATGCACTACTTGGCCATCGCGTGCCGGCATCAGGGTCCACATTTGCCAAACGCGCAAGTGACTCAATTTGGGATTATACTCCACAATGATCGCCCCCTCTACTTGTCGGACTGATGCCCCAGGTCACTCCTGCAAATGCGACTCATCCTGGCGCCTCTTGAGCTCTCACCTGCTTAAATAAACGTCACTGAAAATGTTGACCAAGTCACCCTGGTGCCCCCCCCCCATGTTGACCAAGTCACCCCCTCCCCCCACCCCCCGATCTTGAGCACGGGGATTTGGGATCGCTGTGTCCCACGCCGTGAGATGAGCGGATGCCCAAACTGGCAGTACAGAATCAGAATCTTTACTCATACCGAAGGTATCCGACGAGCTACAAAACTATTTTTCACAGATGTCCAGTAGAGCTGTGAGACTCAACGGGCATGGGTGGTCTGGCCAGCCGTGGTGTCGGGGTCACGACCATCCGCATAGAATCTACTAAACAGTGTACCAGAGACAAGATGGACCGAGACAATGGAATGGAGTGAAATGTAAAAAAACATCAAAGATAGCTGTAAGGATCTTGTTTTCGTGACTGCAGGGATCCATACTCTTTGGTTATTTCGGTAAAGTCACGTAGGTATAAAATAAATTAAATCACGACGTTTCGGGCACATCACAAGCGTCCGTCAGCAGGTGGGACAACCACAGCAAGAAGCAATTGCTTAAGTGGGCAAAAGGAGTGCTTGTGTCAAGAGGCTTTATAGATTTAGCTTCACGGGAGCATTCATGAAGAACAGGTGAGACGAGTGTTCATACAAAGCGTTTGTTTAATGGTCGTTTAAAAACAAAGCAACAGAGAATTTGCCACGCTTGAAATAAACTGGCAAAAAGTTTATTACCATATTCATCAAAGGAGCGATACGAATTTGAACGCCAGTCGCAAATACTGTAATTAGTGTTGACTATAATGTCAGTCAGCCCTTTCTTTATCAACTGCAGTTAAGGAGTTTAACGACTCAAAAACGATAAAACTGCACGAACTAGCAGCACGACACGTCAGATGTATACAGAAGCAAACACCCACTGGTGTTGAGAACACTTGGCACCGTTTAGTTATTGAGAGTCTTCGCGGTGCCGGGGCTCACCGGTGGAGGTCACCGGTGGGGGTCACCGGTGCAACCTCAATTCATGTCAACCGTGGCCAAAGATGTTAACGCTGCTTTCACTGACAATTTTTTTTTTCTATGGGCCATTTCGCACAAGACGTCCAATTGTGGACATAGCTCGCCACACTTACACAACCATAATCCACGTTGCTCCCACATTTCCCGCCCATCCCACTCCCCCCCCCCCCCCCCGATTACAAAAACGTCATCTTCTCTTTGGTTGTCCATCTGTAGACCACACTTTGTTAAAATTTCAATAAAATGTTAAGACAACAAACTAATTGTAGGTCGGCATTCTCAACAACGAGTAAGGCCCTGTGCAGATAGGGGAAACGGGCCCCTAGTTGCAACTCTGGTCATGGAAGATGGAACTTACGGGGTGCCCATAAACAAGGGGGCATAACTGACACAGCCCCTAAATATTCATTCATCTAACACTGTATGTACGTTGCATTTCTTTCGTACCGTATGCAGCCAACCGGTGGTAATCAGAGGTGTGATATGGCTGCGTGTATCAGCAGACACACAGCAAGCAGCCACAGTGGTTCCCCGTGGCGTTGAGTCATTGCTGGCGAGTTAAACTGCCGCCCCCACCCCGCAGAGCACGTACGCGTCATTCGCCCTCTCGCGCCTCGTGCACTTTCCCCGCATTACGCCCACACGACTTCCCACCCCCCCCCCCGCGCCAGCGATTCCTTTCACGCCGCTAAATGACGAACTGCGGGAGGTGTGCGCAATCACGTCTCGCCAATTGCCCTAATATCTGGGGCGCGTGTGCAGTCACGCGCTGCGTAGCTTTCGCTAAATGCAACGCAGACTGATGTCTTGTATGGGAACGCACGCAAAATATACTTCGTCGTATTCATGGTTCTTTCGGTAAAGTCACGTAGAAGGGAAACAATAAAATAACAAAATTATATATTTTATTATTATTATATTTTTATTATTTTGTTTCCCTTCTACGTGACTTTAACGAAAGAACCAAGAATAGGAATCCCTGCAGTCACGAAAGCTTTAAATCAAAATACTTCGTCGTGTTCAATGGCAAACAATGAGCATTTGCTGTGTGAAGGAGCTATAGTGGGGGGGGGGGGGGAAGGACGGACCGTTCTTAACGTAATAAAATGTGAAGGGGAAGAGTAGAGCCCTCAAATATCTTTGTTCAGTGCACTGCTGGTGGAAAGCCCCCCCCCCCTACTCGAGGGAGCTCTATAGAATACCTCTCGAGCGTATTTGGCCTAATCTTCCAGACTGGCCAAACGTCTTGGAAGAGGTGGGAGTACCCACACTTTACCCCACCACACTACGTAACCTTACATTCGACTGTGGTGCACCAATTTATGTGCTGGGCGGATAGAGGTGGGTTGGGGGGATATACGAAATACCACACCACACCAGCAACCATTCATATATCGGATCTTTTTTTACACGTTTGAAATTTTCCTAAGCGATGAATCTCTCTTATTTTCCCACGGTCTAAATGTGTCTCATGATATTGCACTCATTAATTTTGGCAGTCGACTGCTTACAGGTTTATATAGGGTCCAGATTAATCAAGAGTTGTACATTGGCTGGCTTAAGACTCTTTCGAGCACCGTCTGATGGAACATGCGTCCCATTACCAAAACGCAGTCGTAGACAAAGCTTTGCGACCACTCTGCAGCATCTCCGTTAGCTCAATTGGAATGCGCGGGGAACTGCAAATGACACGGGGAGACGCATCCGCTTCTTATATTCCACGCGTCACTGCCTCTGTGCTCTCTCAACCCCACGGAGAGGTTGCGCGTGTTCAGCCAGACGGCAGGCGCACACCTGCCGATTGCTGAAGGCATGCGGGCTGCCCACCGGCGGTCACCAACAATGAGCTGGGGCTATGTTTTTGGGTCACCTATTGGTCCATGTCAGGCAAATATATATTTTTAAAGGGACCGCAGATCCCCCCCCCCCACCCACCCAACCCCAGTTAGACAAGGAATTTCGTTACATTTGCAGAAGTTACGTATAAAATAATACTTCTCTTATCAATATACTGTAGTACTGTGATAAAGTATACAATCGTAATATTACAAGGACTCTATTACTTTATTTACACTCGCACCGAACGACATTCTCTGGAACCCCCTCCACCCGCCACCCCCCCCAAAAAATATCAATATATAAAACAAGCATTTTACAAAACTACATTTGAACGGCACAAAAAAAATCTCTAAAAAATATTTCTTAAAACAGAAAAAAATTGGAGAGTTAACAAATAAATTTGTGTTTAAATTAGAAACGAGTGGGGGGGAGGAGGAGGGAGGGTTTTGCCGAGACAATCATTAGCTCTGCTGGGCGATGCTCAGCGAGGGTGCGCTCATGTCCAGGCGGAGTTTCTCCCACTCAGACGCGGATCCTTTCAGCGGCGGCGGCTGCTGCTGCTGCTTGAGGAGCCTGGGGATGGGGGGGTCCTCCTCTCCTGCAGCCGGGGACAAAAACAAACCGGGCACATCAGTCCAGCGTCAGCATAGCCTTACGTGAACAACTTGCACCACCACCATGATCATGGCTTTGATGATTGTTTTTGTTTCCGTTTAAGACGGTACAATTAATCTCAACTGCAGGGCAGCGTTGTAAGCAGAAGGCAGGGCAGCACAAACTGCTGTACTGTACTATCCTCCAGTCGTACAATGCATCCGGCCTACACTGACCGGTACAGACCAGCGTGGTGAAGTATGGTCAAATAATTTTCACTGCCCGCATGGCATTGGGAGGAGGCCCTCAACTTGCAACGAATTGGCAAGTTCCGCATGTGTAGACATGTACTACCCATGTCAATAATGTGAACACTTTGTGTCAAGTGATTCTGATCAGTTTGTTGTGGCCACATTTTTGTAAGGATTTACCAAAAAATATCTATGGTTGAAGCTAAGTGGATCTATGGATATTATAACTCATGCAATACGTTGTCTTTAAAAAAAAGTGTAACATTTTATAAGGTTATGGATTGGTCAATTGATTATGAATTCAGTATATAAGCGATCTTGGGTTTTGTGCAAAAAAACATCTGGAAACTTCGGTACCTATCACGACACAGTGAAAATATTCACACAGAGAAATGTATTCTGTGCATAAGAAGTTCAGAGAAACAAGAACACATTCCTGTGCTGTAAAAACACGACCACAGAATTATCAAGGGTCACAACAGTAACACGTGCGTTTTTCGACATCCACACACAAAGCTGAGGCGTGCCTTGTCCAAGAGACGCAGTCTTTGTTATGTCAAGCACCGGTAAATCACTGGCCACCATCGACAATCAGAACCCGCAGACGCAGCGCACTTTGCTGACACACCAGGCAGGTGTGCCCCGTCTGAACGCGTGCACAACTTCACTTGCCCCCGGGAGGTGCCACGGGGGGGGTCCCTGCTTGGCAGGGGGGGGGGGAGCCGAGCGTGACACGGCACAAAGAGCACGCGTGGGGAGATGAGGGTGAGGACGATGTGCGGATGACGGACACCACAGTGTCAGGAGAGCGCTGAACCGCGGGCTCGGGCATCGTGGAGAAGTCGCCCGCGTCCATTATTTCCCAAGCCTATCTTTCTCCGAAGCAGCTCACCGTGCATTCGTTCATGAGCGAGAGCAGATCCGGCACCTATGCTCGCGATGCGCGCGTTCGAATAGGGCGCGCGAGAATCAACCGATTTTAACTCTTACATGTCGCGCGTGAAATTGATTCGCGTGGGCCCCCTACTGGAGGCGCTGCATTCGCCACAGTGGTGAAAAGCAGAAAAATAAAGTCTCAAAATCTCGAGTCGAATTGTGACCCCCGATTCGTGATAATTCGTCCAATCGCGAAGGGGGTTCACACTTAATAGGCTGTTAGGGCAAGTGCTGTTAAGAGAGCACCTATGAAGGCCAGTACGCCACATGAGGTGGGGTGGCCAGCACCACGCCCGGCCGCCTTTGCCTCTACAGTGGCGATGATTTACACACCGCACCAGGTACTAATGAGGCTGAGTCGACCTAGGAGTGGCCCAGGACCGGTTCGGATCATCGTCACTGGTGTTGGCCGTGAGCGGGAATCGAACTCGGGTGGCCGGGGTCAGGGTGCAGCGCGCTAACCGCGACGGAAAAATATCGACTCCTACACACACACACAACAGGGTGTGTGTCGAGATGTGGGTGGGGGTGGGAGCTGTTGACACACAGGAGGAGGAGTAGGAGATCGTGACAAGCAGAAGGGATGGGGGAGTTAGAATTACAGGCGACCTAACTAAACAGGGGGGATGGAAGGGATGGCTCGCTCCCATTAATGTCAGAACATCTGCACGAGTTTTTTTGTGGCTGATGCAGGTGTGTGGCATTAACCGCATCGGCCCAGCCCCCTTCGCAGAGGTCGTTTCATCTCAGCAGCCCTGAGGCCACCCCCAACCTCCTCCAGAGGAGCACACCCCTCCCCCCTTCCTCCACGCACTCGCACGCGACTGTTATTTACTCTGCCATTAATTAGGCCGCCATCCAAAACGACGGCCTTTACCTTGACCGACGGCGGCACATCGGTCAAGCAGTAGCCACGACAATTTCTCCAACCGCCTCGGCCATTTGTCCACGCTCGCTGGCCGACAAAAAACTCCGAGCCGTCGTAGTTGTTCGACCGTACAGCTTCGCAACACGGTTATCGACGGGACGAAAGATCACGCAAGTCGTCGCAGATCACACGCGGTTAGTGCCGCATTTAATGAAGCCTAAAAATACGTGCGGTGTATTGTAATCAACTGGCCATCGGATGGACATCTACACACAGCACTCCATGTGAGAGTTGTGCCCAGAATAAATATCATTACTTAAATTATTAAACACATCGATACACTACCAGGGTGTAGTAACACGCTGGGCTTTGCCACAATCTTGCCCGGATGCATTAAGTAAATGCGTCCCCACCATTTAAAAGTATCGAAAGCGTGGTTTGCCGGAAAATATTTCCCCACTCCTTCATCTCGGCGAACACCGCCTGAAATTATCTTAAAACACGAAACGGACTGTTACGTCTGTTCTTCACAAAGTGAGACACAAAGAAGGCCTCCCCCGCCGCCACCCCTCTTTGATCGCAGCACGCTTCTAATTTAACGTCGTACGAGGGGGGGGCGGGGGGGGGGTAAGGGGATACGGCGCCCGAGGGAGGCGTTTAGTAACTCCAGAAAATGGTCGGGGCCATCTACGGCTCTGTGTCACCGAGTGCAGAGCGCAACGTCGCTGCAGGCGAGAATACAATACGGGGGGACGAAGCCGAGGCACCGGACGAAGGCCCCCATTATTCTGATCCCTTTGCCCGCAGTTCAAAGTCAAGCCTCGTAATGGTGCAGGCACCGACGGTAAGGAGGCGGAGGCGTTGGGGGGTGAGGGGGGGGGGGGTTTGGGGAGCGGAGATGAAAGGAGGTGGCTAATGGGCTCTCGCTCGAAAGCAACAAGAGATATCTCCAAACGCGAGCAAGACCAGAAGCATATGGGGGTCACCGTTCCGCACCTCCGATTAGCACGGTTGGCTACGTACGGTGCGAACGAAGTTCAACACGCAAACGGTACAAGCACGCGGAATCAAGGATGCCGATTCGGAGCAGAGGATGTCGTAAGATATTCCCCTGTACAAACGTAGATTCAAATGGACACGAGATAGCTCTTCAGGAGTAGTTTGTACATTGATGGAATTAACTTTTGATTTAAAGCTTTCGTGACTGCAGGGATTCATATTCTTGGTACTTTTGGTAAAGTCACATAGAAGGGAAACAATACAATAATAAAAATGTAAAATAATAAAATTCTCACGACGTTTCTACTGCAACACAAGCAATCATCATCAGGTGTGAAAACCACAGCAAGAAAATTAGAAAAAAAACGCCACTTTTTTCAAATTTTCTTGCTGTGGTTTTCACACCTGATGATCATTACTTGTGTTGCAGTCGAAACGTCGTGATAATTTTATTGTTTTATATTTTTATTATTTTATTGTTTCCCTTCTACGTGACTTTACCGAAATAACCAAGAATATGAATTAACTTTGTTTTATCAGTGTGGGCAACACATTCGATTTGTGTGTGGCACAGCAGCAGCAGTTAGATGTTTTGATAGACTACTTCACCTTCAAAACGAGGTGGCCTTTTTAAAGCTCATTTTCAAATATTTGCGTCTTTTTAAAAAACCTAAAACTAAAGGCGTTCCCGAGGTCGGCTTTGCCCGATATGAGTTTTTAAAATAAATTTTCATATTAAATAAAGCTTGATAAAAAATGTAAGTTGTAACAATGCATTGATTTGTTGATTTATGTAAATTTTGCGCGCGAGAATCAATGTTTATCGCTTCATGTTTGTTATAGTAGGTTATCGTAACCCACGCAGTGAACAGTGCCCGCCACATTCACCATGACATTGCAAAGAACATCGACTCTTGACTCAAATCACGACCCTATATCTCGACGATTCATGGACTCCACCCCTGTTGTGAAAAATGAAACAATACTCAGAAAGATTATTCTCAGGATTCTAGATAATTCTCGCACCAAGATTATAGATGAGAGAAGCATTACTTAGAAAACATCACGAACAACAGCACAAGCGCACACCCACACCTTCAACGTGTGTGTCCATCATCTACTCAAAGCACATTAGCTAATGGTCCCAAACCAACCATTTCTCTTCTTTGTACAACTCTGGGTATCAAGCATGTTTGTTGCAAAAATAATATTTTAAAGGGAGCTTGTGCTCAATCTGGCGAGCTCTAAGGATGTTTGAGAGCCTGCAAAAGCGCTTGGATGGGCGACCACCGCGCACACAACCGGTTGTCATATTGTGTGCAAGGTTACGCGCTAGGCAGCAGAGGGCAGTACAGCAGTTATTGGACTGTACTTTGACGCTCCCACACCCAGAAATCCCTCGTCACAAACCCGAACTGACCGGCACGGTGAAGTGACCGGCATGGTGAAGTACGCGAAATAAATTAATCAAAGTTGTTTTTAATTAACTCTCATGACCCAAGTGCAGTACAACAATGCTTTGTGATGAAGTGGGGAGGCTCTCATCCAGCAGTAGATCGATAACTATATTCGTAGACACCGTGTACATGCAGAAGAGAAGTTTTGATATTTTTGGAACAGGATGCTTGCCCCCCCGCCTGCCCCCCCCCCCCCCCCCCCCCCCCCCCCCCCAGTTCTAAATAAATGAATTGTCAATCTCGACGATGATTTAAAAGTGCACAGCTCCCAGCGGCTTCCTAACATCAGAAGGAAGAGCGTTCCAGACATCCGCAGAAGCGCACCTGAAAGCGAGCGATGCGGTGGCCGTCTTCGTTCGACGCTTAACCGAAAGCCGCTGCTACCCGGGTGACCCGAGTTTTCGTGAGAAATTTGGCAAAATTTACCCCAAAAAATTGATAAAATTTGCCAAATTTGTTACAAGAGTACCGCCGCATTTCAGACGGGACCCTGCGGTCAACTGCTGGCAAACCGAACCGCGACGCTCCGAGCGTTCGCCTCACCCAGCCCCGAGGACGAGGAGATGCTGCCCGTGGTCGAGTCGGTCTCGCCGGGCTCCGGCGTGAGCAGGGGCAGCGCCGACTCGTGCTGCAGCGGGGGCAGCGGGGGCAGCGGGGGCAGCGAGGGGCCCTGGGCCAGGGAGGGCAGCGACGCGCCCCGCGTCAGGGACGGCGGCGCTTCGTAAATCCCCGAGTCGCGCAGCAGCCGCAGGGCCTGCCGGTCGGGGGAGCCGCACGCGTCGCGCCGGGGCAGCAGCAGCAGGGACGCCAGCGCCGCTTCCCCTCCGCGCGCCTCCGCCGAGCCCAGCCCCGCGTGCCTCTCCTTGGCTCCCGCGTCGCTCCCGTCGTCGTCCTCGTCTCGATCTTCCGCCCGGGGCGCGTGCCGGATCACGGGCACGCTCAGCAGGCCGCCCGCTCGTGCTCTGCAGCCGCCGCCGCCGCCGACGACGACGGACGTGGTGCCGCCCCCGCCGCACGCGCCGCCCCCCGACCGCGCGGCGGCGCGGCCGGAACCGTAGCCGCGCGTCGCTCGCCCGCACGCGGCCCTCGGCGCCTGCACGCAGCCCCGCTCGGACGAGATCCTCTCCATCCCGTCCCGGCCGCGCCGCCTGTGGCTCCACCCGACGGCGCCCGCCGCAGCCCCCTCCTCCTCCCTCTCCGACGCGGCGCTCGACGGCGGCGGCGGCGGCCGCGTCGCGTCCACGTGGCCCGGTGCCCGCGGCGGCGTGCACTGCCGCTGGAACCAGTCGGGCGTCTGCCGGATGTAGCTGTGCACGTCGGCCACGGCGTCGGCCAGGGCGCGGCCCGCCGCCGCCGACCGCAGGAGGCCCTCGGCGTCGAGCCGCCGCCGCCGCTCCTGCGGCGTCGCCGCCGCCGCCGCCTCGCCGTCGCGGCCCGCGTGCAGCCGCTCCACGAGCTGCGGCAGCGCCTCGGGGAGGCGGAACTTGGCGCCCGGCAGCTCGAGGACGGCCGGCGCGTCCTGCTCGCTGGAGTAGTCGAAGTAGACGCCGAGGACGCGGTCGCCCGCCCCCGCGCGCTCACCGTCCGCGCCGCCCGCCGGGGCCCTCTGCCGGCGCAGGTGTTCGGCGATCATGGGCACGGCCGCGATGAAGAGGTCGGCGAGGCCCTGGCCGGAGCGGCGGCGCGCGCCCCTCCCGGCGTGGGCGCCCCCCGCCCCCCTGTGCCGTCGGCGCTTGTCCACGAAGAACTTGAGGCCCTTGGAGCAGACGACGAGGATGAAGTCGGACTCGTTGATCTGCCGGCCGAGCCAGTCCAGCTTGCCCTCGGCGCTGATGATCAGCTGCTCCCACAGGTCAACGCTCACCTGAAAGGAGAGTGGGGAGGGGGGGGTGGTGGAGCCACGTCGTGCCACTGCGTCAACGTAAATCTCTAAATGACGGGTGGGTTGAGTCGTTCGTTCACCGAGTGCTCGGTGTTCTCACTTCTGCGAGGTGGCAGCGGGGAATTGGGTTGAGTCCACGGGTGACTGATTTGGTTGGACCTATCCGAGGACTGGAATTGTTTTCCCCTTGTGTGGTGTGGTGGGGTTTTCCCGGCGCACTCCTGTGATCCACCCACGTACCAAACACTCACGAGACGCAACTGGACAAAAGCATCCCGGTCGCGATTTTCGGGAACGGCACGTGCGGTGGGTCAAACGGTCAAACGTTTGACCCACCGCACGTTACATTTTACGAATCGATTCCTGCAGAGAATAAATCGTGACGCCCGATGGAATTGCGAGGGAAGTCATTCATTACATGCCTCATGACCATCGTGGGCGAATGCGTGTTTGGGTACGAGGTGGGGGTGGGTGAGCGGGCAGGAGGTTTTGATCGGTGGGGGGGAGAGGTGATCAGCGGAACGCTCGCTTGTCTGGCCCGCTGGCTCGCTCACCCTGCAACCGGCGCACTCCTGCAGGAAGTGCGCGAGGTGGAGCACGGCGCTCGTGTGCTTCTGCCCGTCGCGGCCCGAGTAGCAGAGGAAGATCTTGGGGCGTGAGCGTTCGCCCACCGCTCCCACGAACTGCGAGCAGACCTCCGAGCTCTCGTCGTCCGTGAACTCGTGGTAGCCTCCCTCGGCTGAGACGGGGGACACACGGAGAGAGAGCCGGGGGACACATGGAGAGAGAGACGGGGGACACACGGAGAGAGAGACGGGGGACACACGGAGAGAGAGAGCCGGGACGAGGCGAGGGGAAGGGGGCGAGCGGGCGGGAACGGGAGAGGTGGACAGGGCCAAAGTGAGTGAGCGGCGATCGGGAAGATTGTGATGGTGGAGGGAGAGTATGAGGGGAGAGTGATAGGGTAGCAATTGAGTGGATAGTCAGGAGGTAGAGACAGGAGAAAGGATAGAGAGTCATGGGAGAGTGAAAGAATTGAGAGGGATGGAAAGGAGTGGTAATGAGGGAAAAGCGGTAATGAAGAGAATGACAGAAGAGTGGTGGATTAAGGTAGCGATGGCAGAGTGATGATGAAGGGAAAATAATGGAGGGATCGATAAAAGGGATGGAGAATGATAGGGAGAGGACAAAGATGGTTGGCCGAGAGGGAGGGAAAGGGAGAGAGGAAACAGCAAGGGAGTAAAAAGGAAGGAGGCCACGCCAGGCCGAGTGTTTCCCATTAGCCACACATCTGACACCCGAGACCATTTACGTTTCATTGCACTGCACACGGTGGACAGGCCCGCCGCCGTGCGTCACCTCCCCGCGACGCTAACCGGGGACACGTTTGCAAGCGCCCCGGCGCCACCGCTAAAGCCCTCGACGTGACCGAGCGCGCTCGTTACCGTCCCACGCCGCGCAAATTTGCAAAGAGCCGGCGGGGAGCACGGAAGGGGGATCGGCTTAAGAGCGCGGATAGCGCTAGAAGGCGGCTTTGTGGCTACGGTCAGCCGGCGCCGCGTTATTAAAACGCGGCGTACCGCGGAAGAAAAAAAAAACATGGGCTGGTGAGAGAGAGCGGCAGGGTCGCCTCTCGCGGAGAGACCGCGACGGACTGCGGCGTGAAACGAGCACACGGTCACCAGCCGGCGTTACTTGGACGACGACTAACGGCCATAGACGTGAGCTAGCAGAGCACGCGGCTAGACCGACGCACTCATCGACGCGTTGGGGCACGTCGGCTAACCGCCTGCTCTGCTCATGGCGACCTTGCACTCTCTTGGTTTGTGACGCGAGAGGGAATGATTAGGAATAGAAAACTAAACTAGGCAATTTTTACTTTACCAAGTAAGGCCCACTAAACCTTACCTGACCACAAATAATAGCTCTGATTGGCACGGTTGGCTACATACGTCGCGAAAGAAGTTCAACATGCATGCATACAACGAAGCGGCTTAGCATGTGCCAGATATTTGAAATGCATATGTCAAAATGTGGAGGGAAAAACCAGAGGACCCGGAGAAAAATCCACGCGACCACGGGGAGAGAGAGAGAGAGAGACACGCAAACTCCAAATATACAGCAGCAAGCGTCAGGGGTTGGGATCGAACCCACGACCTCCTGTATACCTAGCGAGGCAGTTAACATCTCATAGCCACCGCGATTTCAGTCTTCCCAAAAGATTATTTATTCCCCCCCCCACACCGTGATGTTCGGCGCGTGGCGGCGGCGGCGTCTCACCCTGCGTGTTGCTGCGGCACACGAGCGTGAGGAACGTCGCCACGGCGGCAGCCGCCACGATGGGCACGGTGATGGCGATGGCGCGGAGAGGACCGCTCCACGGGGACGGCGGCGACACTACGCGCCCGCCGCGAGAGAGAACATTGTCATCACCACCGCCGTCGCCGTCACACCGCCGTCGTCACACCATCGTCGTCATCGTCACACCATCGCTGCCATCGTCACACCGTCGTCGTCGTCGTCACACCATCGCTGCCGCCGTCACACCGTCGTTGTCGTCACACCATTGCCGCCGCCGTCACAACAGCGCCGCATTCGTCACACCATCGCCACCGTCGTCACACTATCGTCGTCACACCATCATCGTCGTCGTCACGCCAAAGACATCGCGGTCGCTGCGCGCCCGCCGTGAGAGAGAACATTGTCATTGCCGCCGTTGTCAACACCATCGTCGTCAAACCATCGTCGCCGTCATCACACGATCGTCACCGTGGTCACACCATCGTCGTCACACCATCGTCGTCGTCACACCAAAGACATCGCGGTCGCTGCTGTCATTACAATTCATGTCCACTGTTATCATTGCTCATCATTACTGTCACTAATATTATTATTCATAAGAGGTTTTTTTGGGTTAGATCGTGTAAATATAAATGTGCCACCACCCGACACAGGCAATTAGTACATTTTTTATTATGTAAACAGAACGTGCCAATTCGTTACGAGTACACCACACCAGTGTGTTGAAGAGCAAATCCACAATATTTAGAATCTGATTACAACATTTCGCCAGGAATGTTCTGTTTACGTGACAAACCTTACTAGTTGGCTGTGTTGGGTGGTGGCGGGTTTAACAATACATTTATACTTATGAGATCTAACCCAAAAAAAACTATATTACGGATGATATTGGTCGCGAAAGCCTAAGTGTTAAACATTATTATTACTGCTGCAGTAATTACACTGTCCTTTGTCATCTCAGACATCACATCAATATGCTTAATGTAAGAATTGGCAGAAACATTTGGCGAGCGCATGACTCGAAGCGAGTGAGACTGAGCAGCCCGATTTGCAAACGTCTGTCCGTGTGTATGCATGCGTCTTGGTCCATTTGCAATATCGTGAAACCACCGTTCAAACTTTCAGCGCGACATTTTCGGTTTGTTCGGGATGACCGCTTCCCGATTGGGGTGCTTTTTCGGGTCGCACGGTCAGACAAAATGCCACGGAAGATAGGAAGTAAGCAGTTGTGGACGAACTGACGACGCTAAACGCAGCGCTCGCGCCAACGAAGCCCCCCACCCCCCCGCCCCACCGCAAGGAGAGAGGCGCAGAGGGCCGCGAGGGTACGGCTGTTACCGTGCGTGACGGTGAAGATGGCTCTTTTCCTCTGGGCGTCCACGCTGTTCAGAGACACCTGGGGGAGGACACCGGAGCTGTCATCGTCCACCAGTAGCAACTCTGTGTAAACTCGCTCTCGCCTGGACTCAAAAGTGGACCACGGCGAGTCCTCGCACAACGCGTCGTGGCAACAACGCGTCGTGGCAACAACGCGTCGTGGCAACAGCGCGTCGTGGCAACAACGCGTCGTGGCAACAGCGCGTCGTGGCAACAGCGCGTCGTGGCAACAACGCGTCGTGGCAACAGCGCGTCGTGGCAACAGCGCGTCGTGGCAACAACGCGTCGTGGCAACAGCGCGTCGTGGCAACAGCGCGTCGTGGCAACAACGCGTCGTGGCAACAGCGCGTCGTGGCAACAGCGTCGTGGCAACAGCGCGTCGTGGCAACAGCGTCGTGGCAACAGCGCGTCGTGGCAACAACGCGTCGTGGCAACAACGCGGTTCTTCTATTCTGCAGCACTGTTCGCACAGCGCGGAGCGCGCCCCGTTGTTGCAACGCAGATTCTGGGCGGGTCCGTGATTAACTACTTTCGTGAGCTGCGCACCTGAGCGGAGTCATAAAGTAACGCGGCGGCGTACCCTCCTCATCCGCCGAGGTATTTTCCCCGCCGTGGGATGGCTGCAGGCTGATTGTAGAGTGCAAATGTGATTCAGTAAGCAGGAAATTCCTCGCTTAACACCGTTTTCGCTCGATGCGACACTTTTCAAGAAAGCATCCACTACTGTACCGCGTTAAATGAGGGGATTACTGTACACATAGCAATCATCGCCCCCAACTGCAAGAACTTGGCACGGCCCGCCTGAAAAAGGGTCATGAGTAGAGTCTGTTGCTTTCATCACGCGATTTGGATATAACCCGATGAATGTATCAGGGAACACATTTTTTTTTTTAAACGCGGATGCGAATTGGCTATAACGCGATCGAGTGAACGGAACTCCGTCGCACGAGTAGCGTCATCGCACAAGGCGGGATGCTGCTGGATGCTTCTCGACGCGACCCACGAGCCTCGGTCTTTGTTCAGCCTGCGTACGCACCCCACGTGTTATCGTGGACTGTTCTTCACCCTACATTATATATGATTTATTATAAAGCGATTTTTCCATAAAGCGGTGCTCTTCGGGAACACAAACTACCGGGCTATAGGAGAACGGACTGCACTCCTCCTTCCCCCGGGGGGGGTCACCCTTGATCAAGAGCTTGGTGCTGGCTCAATGGGTCTTCTCCCCGGGGGATACCAACAATAAAATACACGGGATTTGAGATGAGCGAGAGGCTTTCCCAGGTAAACAAGCATCACCGCCAGTCACTGTGAATGCTGCAAACGGTTTTGCTGCATTAGTTGTTACTTTCCACCCCCTGCCCCTCCCCCAGTGAAACCTAGAGAAACTCTTCTCTCTTATCAAGCAGTGCAAGGGCTGGGAAAAAAAATCAAAGCCCGAGTTAACGACAGCAAAGTGTCGAGCCAATAATAACAGCTGAAAATCTGAAGAATTACATTGAAGCCGCCACCCCCACCTCCTTAAAGCCTCACCGCTTCTCCACTACCCGTTCTGTTCCTCTTCCCTCCCTCCGCCGCTCCACTTATCCCGTCCCCGTTCCTAACCCCTACGCACCCCCCGATCGTGCTCACCCATTCCTCATCCCCTGCCACGCCCCTGCCATCGAAATACTCTCTTTGTTGATACAGTTGTTTTTATCATATCAGCAGCCGTCATCAGAGGCGCTTTATAAATATATATAAACGAAAATTGCCCAGTGTCTTCAGGGTACCACAATGAAATAAACGGTCTCCGAATATAAGTCAGCAAAAGTCTTTCCCTCTATTCTCTGCTCTGATCAATGCCCAATGAGTCCACGCGTCTATCCATAGGACAGCCACTGTTGACTTTCCCACAAAGTGGTACTCATTGTATAGGCCCCAGAAGGGATGGTGGGCTGAGTAAACCAACCAACCAGGACCTCTGAACCTTATTTGAACTCTAAACCTTGTGACTGCAAGCTGCTCACTCTACAACCGTGCCACCTGGCCGGGTTAAACGTTAACCCAAAATAGGACATTGTCTAATAAGCCAAAGCTAATGACGAAGGTGACGAAATTCATGGAGTTGTAATTATCACATTGAGCTTGCACACCACTGCCAAAGCACTCCCGTAATTATTATATTTTCGCGATCAGAGGCGGATGTTTTGCGGTGGGTACCTCGATGACGTAAGTGGCTCCGGGCTGCAGGTTGCGCAGGCTGACCCAGCCGTAAGTGAAGTTTTTGTCCTTGGGCTGCGATCAGGGGGGGCAGGGAGAAGAGTGAACAATGAGGGTCCCCAAAGCACCACAAGCACGTGACCTTGTAACACGACATAACAAGGCTACATGTTTCTTTGTTTACACTGTTTTTTTATTACGTTAAGAGCATTCATCGAAGCCAATCTATACATATAAACGAAGATAAGACCACCAATTGTACATGCGAATCGCACCTCCGATTAGCACAGTTGGGCTACGTACGGTGGCGAAAGAAGTTCAACGTAAATACGTACGACGAGTCGGGCGACTCCAGGTGTCTACCACCACCACCACTAACAAAACTCCGGCCGTCGCCGCCGTCGCGGCCACGCTCCGGCCAGCCACCGCCACTTGGCACTCACCACGCGCACGGCCGTCTTGTTCTCCGAGACGGGCGAGCAGGCGAGCAGGGCGGCCCCCAGCGGCGGCGACGGAGCGGCGCACGCCTCGGGCCGCACGCCCGCGTACACCACGTACGACTCGACGCCAAACGACGGCGGCGCCAGGTCGAAGGTCACGTTCACGTCCGTGCCCTGCTGCGTCACGTTCACCGTCTTGGGGAACCAGTCTGCGCGCGCGGGGGCATGCGCAAGAGGAAAACTCTTCGCATTGAAAAATCACGCCCACCGCCGCTCCCCGCTGCCGCCCCCCCCCCCCCCCCGCGCATGGATTATGTTACGCTTGGTAAAACGTGCGCAGTACTGAAGCCGGTGGGGTAGTTGTCGGGCCAAAATGCAGAGTGCTCTGCTTTCACGTACATCCTGCGACAGGGATATTTGTCGCATGGCTGTTAAACTCATGGGTTGTTCTTTTTTATTTTATTGTCAGAGCAGGGATTTTTCTTTTTTATGAGAAAAAAACGAATGCTAAATTTTGTTTTTTTTGGTCGACGGGGCTGGGGGCTCTCAACTCACTGCACTTGAGACTCTGGTTTAATCAGGGGTGACTGAAACTTGGATTGGAACCCATGATCTCAAGAGTGCCTTCTCAGTGCTCAGACTCCTGGGCCACCTGGCAACCTCAAAAGCGATGTCCAGAAAAACGACTACAGTGATTCATATGAGCGGCTATGCCGGGTGTTCCTTGACCACACCCCCACCACCACCACCGTGAATTCTCATTTAAAAGCTCCGTCACCGGACAGGTGGGCAAGCCCAGATTTACGAACGCCATAAATAAGTGTAACACGTAGGAGGCTTTTACGACCAATATCATCCATAACAGGTTTTTTCTGTTTGGTTAGATCGCGTAAATATATAAATGCGTCGTTAAACTCGCCACCACCCGACACAGCCAATTAGTAAGGTTTGTCACGTAAAGAGAACATGCCAATTCGTTAGGAGTAGAGCACACCGGTTTGTTGGAGAGCCAAGCCACAACGTTTACAATCTGAGTACGACGTTTCGCCAGTAATTACAACCAGCTTCATCAAGCGACAGCCAGATTAATGACACGTTTATATACTTACGCGATCTAACCCAAAAAACACTGTATTATGGGCCATGAATAAGGGTGACATTCGAACGTGCAACATTGAATTGTTTCAATGTTTGCACGCACCAAATGCACGCTTAGCTCCGATCCAGAACACCCCACTAGGTGGCAGAATTCAGTGCAGACATTCACACCACCAGCACAGTTCCCTACAGCGGTGGTTCTCAACAGCGCGGTTCCCCGGGACCACCGGGCGGTCCACGACGCTCCTCCAGGTGGTGTGTGGCGGGGGCTGTGATGCTAAACGCGGGTTGATCTGGACAATAATGACGTTTTAAAATCTTTTGCTTTGGACATTAATATTTTACTCATGATATTTAGTTTCAAAATGAAGTTAGGCAAACTACCCTGATGAAACTACCATAACCCTAACATCTAAATGCCTACCTTAAAACCCAAAAAAACCTTATAGCTGCGCACAAAAAAATACGTTCTGGCCATATGCATCATTATGTATTCCTGGCATTTAGAGAGAGAGTTGAATGCGTTTTGCTGCCAGGGGTGGAAGGGGGCTGGGTGGGAGGGTGGTACGCGGAAATGTTTGCATCGGCTGAGCGGTCCATGGGGCCAAAACAAGTTTGAGCAACCACCGTTCTAGAGCAGTGGATGCCACCCGGCTTCCGCTGCGCGAATCGCAGGAGGCCTGCGAGGCCACAGCAAACCGCCCCCCCCACACTTAATTGTTCCGGATCGGATTTTCTTCACACAACTAAACGTAGACTCATGGACGGAGTTTGCGACGGGGGGGGGGGGGGCAACGCCCCGCCCAAACTGGAAACCTTTATTAATTTATTTTCAGCAGTTGCTAATTCAGATTAAAAATAAATGTATTATATGCACCCCCGATTCCGAATGTTAGGGACAAACGAACCCCTGCCCACCCCCCCCCCCCCATATATATATAGAACTAAAACTCCACCAAACTATGTAATGTTACTATGTACGGTGGTGTGTGAACGTGTGTTGAGTATTGCCAGTGGGTCCACAGCTCAAGAGAGATTGGGAACCACCGCGTCTCACTGCACGGCTTGCTGGAGAGGGCACTGTGAGAGTGCGAGCACTCGCATGAGTTCAGGTTGACCCAGGACAATGGATGATTCGATGGGCAGTAAACTACGTCCGACTGGGGCGGCAGTGGTTAGAACTCGTGACTTTGCACGGTTGGCTACGTACGGTGTGAAATAAGTTCAACATACGTGCATAATTAATCAAGATGTTGGGAGTTCAAATCGCAACAATTATTGTAATTAAGATCCGTGCCGCGTACCATCTGTGTCAACGCAGGACGCTCCATGAAATGGAGCCTAAACAACACAGCTCATTAAGGCCCTTCCTGCTATGGAAATAAATAACATCTAAAAATAAATAATCTGCCAAATCTTGGGGCTGTTAAGAGGACTGCCACTCTGTGGGTGGGAAGTTAACAGTGCTTGTCCTATGGATTAACTTTCCCCGACCCATAGGAATGTGGAATTTTCACCACTGGCTTCTGATAATAAGCAGGAGATGTGCACAACAGCATGCGAACGTTAACTTGTAATATTACAGTATTTTATACTCACAAAAGCATTACACGTTCCCAGCGGCGAAGAAAAACTGCCGTCAAATTTTACACCTCAAGCAACGGAATATAAGGCCAACAGAGACTCGTGAAGATACCAAAACCATGCTGTCAAAATAACAAACTAAACATGCACAGGGAAATAAGCTAACTGTAGTATTCCAAATCTAATTGTAGTGTTGGAAAACAGCCTTCGAATTGAGACTCGCACAGAGACCCATAGTTTGCAGTCCTTTGCACCACACCTCCGATTAGCATAGTTGGCTACATACGGTGCGAAAGAAGTTCAACACACATACGTACGAAAGCCACGTTGTGTTTTTTTTTACAGCCAGGATCGTGAGCGCACATTTCACAATTCATCAGCCAAGCAGTGTGTCTTGCTGCTCCAATCAGCAATGGGGGGAGGCACTAATCTTGTGTTGGCGGCAGAACAAATTCCATATTCCTGTGGCAGGAGCCAGTCTCTCCAAAAAGACAACCGTTGCTGACTCGCAGCAAAAGAGCACTCGCTATATTGGTCCCCCGAGGGGCGATGGACTGAGTGGACCCCTGTCTGGGACTTGAAACGTTGCAACCTTATAACTTTTGGCCATGTTATAATTAAGAGAACCTCCGTGTAAAACAGAACCAGGTGTAGTGTCGGAGGGAGACGCAGCCAGTCGAATTACAGGCGCAAAAGAGGCCCTATTTAGTTTTATTTGCCGATGCATTTCTTACGGGGGCGCGGCTGTGCGGTTCGCGCGACGCGTGTGTGGGAGCCGAGATGGTGCCCGCACACTCACCGTACATGCATTCGTTGTTTCCTTTCCCCACCACCTCCTCACAGGCTGCAGACAAACGGACAGAGAGAGAGAGACAGGGGGGGAGAGCATCGTTAGACTGACTCGGTACACAACAAAGATTGCAGAGGCATGAGAAGGATTCACAAGTCCCAATCTCCATCGCCATAAGACTCTTGTCTTAATGGTCTCTCACCTGTTTACAATTAAAGTTTGTGTGTGTTGTGTATTACATGTGTGTTGTGTATTACATGTGTGTTGTGTATTACAATTAAAGTTTGTGTGTGTTGGGTATTACATGTGTGTTGTGTATTACATGTGTGTTGTGTATTACAATTAAAGTTTGTGTGTGTTGTGTATTACATGTGTGTTGTGTATTACAATTAAAGTTTGTGTGTGTTGGGTATTACATGTGTGTTGTGTATTACAATTAAAGTTTGTGTGTGTTGGGTATTACATGTGTGTTGTGTATTACAATTAAAGTTTGTGTGTGTTGTGTATTACATGTGTGTTGTGTATTACAATTAAAGTTTGTGTGTGTTGTGTATTACATGTGTGTTGTGTATTACAATTAAAGTTTGTGTGTGTTGGGTATTACATGTGTGTTGTGTATTACAATTAAAGTTTGTGTGTGTTGTGTATTACATGTGTGTTGTGTATTACAATTAAAGTTTGTGTGTGTTGTGTATTACATGTGTGTTGTGTATTACAATTAAAGTTTGTGTGTGTTGGGTATTACATGTGTGTTGTGTATTACATGTGTGTTGTGTATTACAATTAAAGTTTGTGTGTGTTGGGTATTACATGAGGGCAGGAGTGGTGGCGTAGCAGTTAACACATTGCACTGCGAACCTTGCCACCTGGGTTTGATTCCCATCCAAGGCTAATATCAGTGGAAATTGATCTTGGAACCGGTCATAGGTCTCCCATGGATGGACTCAGCTTTAAATGGGTACCTGATATTGCATGTAAACACAAGCACTGCGGAGGCATAGGTGGTCAGGCGTGGCGATCGCCACCCCCCCCCCCCCCCTTGTGTGCTGTTCCAGCCTGAAATTTGTGCCCGCTAACAGTACTTGCGCCCCAGAATTCTGTTGAAGGCTACACAGGGGATCTTTGTCACTGCCGGTGTCATCAGGCGTGCGGCCTTTGGGGTTAAAGGTGAGTAAACAATCTTGCTCAAGCCTTGGCGACCAATGACAAAAAAAAAATTCAACGAATAATAACATTTGTTTCACGATAACGAGGATGGTGGCCCTGTTGATGGTGGCAGCGATAGTAATGGTGGTGGTGACGATGGTAGTGGTGGTGATGAATGTGGCGATGACATTGCCGCTCATGGCAGAGTCGTCGGCGACAATGACGATGATTATTCCAGTTTGCGTCTGGTAATATTGCGTTCCCCGTTGGAAGTGGTCATGCTACCCCCACAAAGTCACCAGGCATCGCACAAACTCCTGCCAGTACGAGCCGAATTTTAACGTGGGCAAGTTATCACTGCTCATGCGAAAATCACACATCCGGCTCTGCCACCATAACCTTGATTAACGTTTGCCACCGCCATCAACAATGTCGGCAAACGTCAACTCAAAACGCATCCCCCCCCCCCAACCTGCAGTGACCTGTAAATGCCACCACTGCCGACGTTCTCGGGCTGTGGTCGTTCTTGTACAAGAATTTGTACATAGCTCAAATAAAGTCCGAGTCAAAAACAACGTCGCTAAGGCCGTGTGTGCTGGTAGCTCTACAGGACAGCTGGATGAAAATCACCCGCGTATTGTTTGTACATTCGTACTGCAAGCTTAGTTGTAACGTTTTTACGACCGTGAAAAATATTATCCACTTTCGGGTCATTCCAGTAAGGCATTTTTTTTAAAGGACCAGAATACATTCTTTCATCGAGCCCTCTTTCAGCATGAAATCTGATCATGCCCTACTCGTGGTAAATAGGGGGTTTGCTGGGGTTCATGGTTTTATAAAAAAAAGATATGTATTTATTTGTTCTGCCTTTCCAGAGATTGCATAATGAGATTACACAAGGACAGTTCGGTTGAGCTCCAGAGCAAATACTTTAACAGAAGTGGGATATCAGGCACATCATCTGAGAGGAAGAAACTTTTAATCTGTTCAGCCAAAAAAAGTGGCGGCTGAAAAAACATTTAAAAAAATATCGAGCAGAATACTCGAGGGCAAGTGGAGATCCTCGGAAAGGAACACTCGTGTTCAGTTTAAAAGCAGCACGCAACACTGCCGAGTACTGCGATGACAGGAGACATGCCCCCCCCCCCCCACCCCGCATTTATTTCCATCATTATTTCATGCTGTTGCTCCATATCACTGGGAAACAATTCGCAACCGAGGATCTCCCGACGCAAAAAATATTTGGAACTTCTGCGAATTTTCCCCCGGTACCCGGACACAAGAGAGAGACGAGTTTTTTTGTTTGGGTATTCAAAACAACGGAAAATGAAACCGACCGCACACAAGCAAGGCAGACCGCGATCTTTCCTGGTACAACCATATTTCCAAGTTCCAACAGTTTGCGGCTTCCGCAGCTTTCCAACGGTTCCAAAAGTTATCACGAGCGGCGGGGGTCGTATGACCTCGGCATTTCGTGCGACTGCAGCAGGTAAAAAATAAAAAAATCCATCGCCAATTCCACCTGCCCAGGTGCTCATTTATCACTTCTCCCCGCCGCATTCCGCCGAGGGGACGTGCACTCTGCCGTATCAGGCGAAGATCTCTGGTTGAGGGCTCTTGCCAGAGTCCAAACAACGCCACCCTCCCACCTCCTGCCGCCATCGCCGCGCACACGCGCGCGTTCCTCCACACTCAACGCACGCTTCTGCGGGCTCTGTGTATGCGCCTTTCCCAGTTTCTCGCCAGCCTTACGGCAATACCTCAGGAATACATTGCGCTCGCGCGTGTGCGAGTCTGTGGCTGTTGAGGAGGCTAGTGAAGGACGCTACTGGTCAGTTGGAGGCAGTCGCCCTCCGACAACAACGGAGGGCAGAGGAGCGACACTCACAACGAGCGGAGCGCCGGGCGGCGATAATGCAACAAGCCGGCACAGTAGGGGGCACAGCTGGTGCATCTGCCAGCCATCTCAGTCAGTAAACCCATGGCACCTGGGTCTGTCCCGTCACCTTCTGTCAGTGAGCCTTTGACACGTCACGTGGCCTCAAAGTACACCTGGCCTGGCACAGGCACCGTGGTGACGCACCTAGTGGCGAATGGCGGGTATTGGTATTGTTTGGGGGGTATGGGAGTGGTAGTGTGGTGGTTAATGCACTGCGAAGAACCCGGCCACCTAAATTCGCTTTCTACTCGCAGTCAACATTGTGGCCCAACATCGGAACCATTCCTGGGCCTCCAAGTATCTGGCGTGGTTTGTAAACATCAGCACTGGGGAGGAAAGGGCGACCGAGCATGCTGCTGGCAACACCGCCCGCGTTCACACGTCGTACCGGCCTTCATACTCGACATCTGTGAAAGAGAGCTTCATAGCTCATCGCATTTCTCCAGGATAGATAAAGAGTTCTGATTCATAGCTGCTCGCCAAGTGCACTTGCCCCAACGGCCTACGTAGTCTGACTGGAAAATCTTTAACTTTATCTTTGTGGGTGTGTGGGTGCACTCACTGGCGCCCGAGGCAGCGCCCCAAGCACACGACACCTTCGCTCACACGAGCAAAAATAATCCCTTAATGGGCAACTCCTGCGAGAGACCCCCACGCCAGACCACCTTTCATTCAGCCGGCGTCTGGAACAGCGCCACAATTAGCGAGGGCGCGTCCACCTTCTCCCACACCCACCCAGGTGCACCCCTCGCATTCCACCTACCCTCCGCTCGCGCGTCAATTCCCACCCCACGTTTCAAGCAAGCGGCTCATCCACGGTGCGGCGGGTCCACGGTTGGACCGCTGCTCTCTCGCTCATGCCAGCGTGCACGGCCGGCAAGCTTCCTTGGAAGTCCAACCCCTGCAGGTGCCGTGCACTTCTGGAAAAAAGTGGTTCTAGAGAAGTTAGTTTTCTATCTAAATTAAGTTTTCAATCCAGATTGAAAACCCCTTTCTTTAGAACTGATTTTTGTATTTCTTTAGAACTGCTAGACTGAAAACTCCTTTCTTTAGAACTGATTTTTGTGTTTAGTTTGTTGTCCTTGCCCTGTACATCTGAGTAGCACGGTTGACGACGTATGGCATCAAAGAAGTTAAACGTACACGCACACGACAGTCAAAGCTTCAGGCCATCAACTGTAACAATGCATTATGGAATTCAATGTGCAGGCTTATGCCTACGTTTGAGTGACGTGTAACATTGATTTGCGTTGCCGAGGTATTAAGCTGTAGCCATTGTGGTGGCGGTGATTGCAAATACAGTATTTTGAAGCTGTGCTTGTTAAAAAAAAAACAGAACTGCTTTTTGTATTTCTTCAGAAGTGCTTTTTGTGTTTGTTGGCCTTCCCCCTGCACCTCCGATTAGCAACGGTTGCCTACGTACGGCGCGAAAAAAGTTCAACAAACGTACGAACGAACACACTGCCCCCACAGTCCCGCGTGTCAAAAAAAAACACGTGGGGAGTCTAAATGCTCAATGAAGAAAGCCTAATCACCCCGAAAACTGCACTCTCGTTACAAGCGGTCACAGAAACGTACGCGCGTCGCGGCAAAACTGTTCTTACCTCGCGGGGGCCCTTAAAGTGTTGGTGTGCACCAGGACGTGTTTTAACGGTCCGGACACTTTACGAGAGTGGGGACTCCCGTTCTCGGGCTGTCCACCATAGACATGCCAAACTGGTGTTGTTGCTGCTGCTGCTATTTTGCACGACGTGGAACGAATCTTTTTTTCCCAATCCGTCATTGAGTTTTAGTCTCGAAGGAATACGCGCGCGTTGGTAGTGTTTTGCACGTGTTTGCGGATGTGATAAGCGTTTTTAAGTTGATAACTATACGACGCTTTACTGCTAAACATGCAAATCACCTGCATTGCGCCCGATCGCCCGACCTCAGAGGTCAAGCAGCGTTGGAGACTAGACACTGCTTAAAT